AGTTGATGCTCTCTAACAGTTTGCGATGTATGTCAGAAAAGGGTCTCTTTTTCTCTGCCTGTTAGGAGCAGAGACCTCTCCTGCTTTCTCAGCAATCCCCTTGCCTTGCATTAAACATAGTTTACTTTTTGCTCCATCAGGGTTTGTAGTATCAGCATTACTGCTTGCTCTCCAGCAGGGTTTCTGCTGGTTTGCCTCTGGCAGCCCTGGTCCAAGAGTGAAATGCTGGAGAATTTGTTAGCTGTGACTCCGATTTTCTGTCAAGGCATTTTTATATTTGTGAATAGTTATTTCCTTAGACACCTGGACAGTCATTGTTTGTGTAATTCCCCAGCTTCATAGACTTTATAATAAATTGACAAAATTCAGAGGTCTTCCTTGGGTGATGCTTAAGGTTAAAATTAATGCTTATTTTCAAGGACATCCATGTTAAATCTTGTCAACACATGATTCTTTTATTTTTAACTCATTGAAATCATTTTATTTTTGCTTGAGTGTGATGGGTGTGTGGGATTGGCATTTGACCCAAAGACTACCAGTCTCTATATATGGTATAACATGAGGCTATTGCCGTTGACATTGGGGTAAGAGAGTGTATGATTTAAGGCATTTAATCTTAAAATTTATTACAAGTATATGAGTAAAGAATGATGTTTGTCTTTCTTCTGCTGCTATCAAAACAAAAATACTAATCACCTGAGTTCATTTGTAGAGACAGAATTTTACATAAATAATTCTCTAACTTGATAAAGAATAAAGAAATATGAAATGTGAGCATATTGTATCTAGAAATGTTACAGAAACTTTTTTCTGTAGAAGTTTTGGAAGACATAAAACAGATTATTTCCCATCAGCTGAATGTGATCTCTCTCCCTGTTAACTCTCATAGCAAGCCATGTGTGATGACTAATGTGCTACATTAGGCACTAGCAGCAGACAAAGATGAACAAGACACTGCTTTGCTCTGAGAGATTTTTACCTTGTATGTTACAGTTACGTTGGTCTATTTTATAACTGTTAACGGCCTGTATTACTTGATAATTATTTCTGTATCATACATATTTATGGTCCCCTCAGTGCCTAGAATATTTAACACATAGACCAATTTGTTAAATGAATTTATTTAATAATTATTCTTTTATTCAACAATTATTTGTAAGTTCCTACTATTTAAGGCAGTTATCTCTTTAAGGTGGTTTTGCCTATATTCTTACCCTACCAGGAAATAAACTTAGTAGAAGTTTTTTGTTTTGTTTTGCTTTTTTGTTTTTTGGAGATGGAGTCTCACTCTGTCTCCCAGGCTGGAGTGCAGTGGTATGATCTTGGCTCACTGCAACCTCTGCCTCCTGGGTTCAAAGGATTCTTCTGCCTTAGCCTCCTAAGTAGCTGGGACTACAGACACCCACCACCATACCTGGCTAAGGTTTTTTATTTTTAGTAGAGACGGGCTTTCACCATGTTAGCCAGGATGGTCTCCATCTCCTGAAATTGTGATACGCCTGCTTTGGCTTCCCAAAGTGCTGGGATTACAGGTGTGAGCCATTGCACCCAGTCCGAGTTTTTTTTTTTTTTTTTTTTTGTAAATTTATAGTTCCACCGTGATTATTATGCTAATATTTTAGACATCAAAATAGATCCATCAAAATATCTGCAAAAATTCTTCCAAGGGATTTCCACTTACAGAAGGATAGAATTAACCTTTTTTCCTTCCCATTTATCCCATTAACTGCAACCAAAAAATCCCAGACATTACATTTGAAAAATGTACAAGAAGACCTTGAAAAGTGGAGGGAAGAAGGAAGACTATACAAGAAGTTCTGGACCCAAGTAATGACATGGTGGTGAATTCCTGGATTTTTGTTTTGGCTCCATATATCCTAGATTTGGAGCTGAAAAGATCAGAAACCCAGAAATGACAATAGGTACATATATACACACACAGAGAGAAACAACATCTGACTCTTTCTAGCCAAAGGACAAGGAAAGGGCAACTTGATAAAATAGAAAAATTGGAGGCAATTAACACTTTCATCCACCCATACCTAAGAGAAAAAAGTATGGCCTTATCCCTACCTAGGCCATCAATGCCCTAATGAAAAATCTACATTTCTACCTTCACCAGGCTCTGACAAGGTCTCCTCACTTTCCACCAGGGTAGTGTCAAAGAAGATCACACAGAAGCCAGGACATTCATCCCTGCCAGGCAGCAACCAGGCCACCCTCTACCCTTTGTATCATCAGTGGAGATAACATAGGAATCCTGAACTTCTACCCCTACCATCCCTACACGTTGGGATGGTGTCAAACTAGGCTTAGAGGAGAGTCAGGACTTTCACCACCATCCAGCAATAATGACACCAATACTCAACCCCTCTCCCGCCACCACCAGGGTGTCAGTGGTAGATGAGTTGTTTATAGTTACAAGGCATTCCTATTCTTCCTAGCCAGGGAGGTATCAATGGAAGTCTAGTGGAAGCTGGAAGTCCTGTCCATGCCAGTAGTAATAAAGAACCCTTGCCCACTAATATATCAGCAGAGGACAGGTAAAGAAACATGAGCTTCTACCTCCAACTGCCATTAATTCTACTTCCGCTTCCCCTACTGGAGCAATGCTGGAGAAACCCAGCTAAAGCTGAAGGTTTAAACAAGATCCAGAATCTCATAATATCATACCCAAAATGACTAGGTTTCAACTGCAAACTACTTATTACACAAACAATCAGGGAGATTTTAATGAAATTAAAAAAAAAAAAATTTGGTGCTAATACCAAGGTAAGCAAATGAACCCCCAGCAATTGCCAGAGGCAATTAAATAACATTTGACTTCAGTTTCATACCTTATAAAAATTAATTCGAGGTTCAGAGGGGGACCTTGTCATAGCCTGGTGAAGGTAAAAATGTAGATTACTCATTAGGGCATTGATGGCCTAGGTGGGGATAAGGCCAACTTTTTTCTCTTATGTATGGGTGGATGAAAGTGTTAATTGCCTCAAATTTTTCTATCTTCTTAAGTTGCTTTGGCCAGAGAGAGTCATATGTTGTTTCTGTGTGTGTGTGTGATTATGCACTTATACCTGATAAATGAAACTATAAAACTTTTGGGAAAATAACATAGAAGATAAACTTTGGAGTCTATACTAGGCAAAGAATTCCTAAACTAATAGCTTGGCCCATAAAGGGCAAAATTGATAAATGGGATTTTATCAAAATTTAAATATTTTGTTCTGTAAAGGATTAAGAGGATGAGAGCACAAGCTATAGACTGAGAGAAAATATTTGCAAACTAGTTATTTAATAATGATTAATATACAGAAAATATCAAAAAATTCTCAAAATGCAGCTGTAAAAAATCCCCCAAAAATCCAATTAGAAAATGGGCAACATACATGGACAGATCTTTTGGTTAAAAGGATACACAGATGGCAAATAAGTGCACGAAATGATGCCAAACATCATTAGTTATTATAAATGTGAAATATCACAATACATATTTTATGTGTGTACTACACAGCAATCATATGAATGTCCTTAGTTGATTTTAAGGAATACCATTCAGTTTATAGCCCTGCCACTTAAGTGGCCATGTTTTCTACAGAATTCTCTTATAACCCACAATCTAATGCCACTTGACTAAGTCAGGAATGGCAATAGACCAAAAGTCAAGTAAATCTTAATTAAGTTATAATCTAGGATCTTAGCGATCAGGTGAATTAAGCCAAGCATATTCTCTCTTTTGAAAATTTAAATACACACACACACACACACACACACACACACACACACACAAACACACAAAGAATAGGCTGTGTGCTTGTTATTAAATTACATTCTCTCAGTTCAAGTCCATCCCCCTCTTGCTCTGATATGCTGGGGCTGGGTCTGTGTGAAGCATATATTTTTCTTTGCCACCTGGTTCCCTGTTTGCCAATACAGGGAGACAGAGGGAAACTAGAAGCTTGAAAGTGAAGAAGAAAGTGATTCCTGTTTTTGACAATGTCACCCTGTTGGTTCCACTAGCCATTGAGCAGCAGTTGGTTCTATTTTATACATTTTTCTACAATTCCAGAAAAAACCTGATTGTACTCTTTTCTAGTGGTACAACTGGTACCCCTTCCTCAGTGATGTGATTCCAGTCCTGCCTGTGGATTCCTTTATAGTTCTTCAGGCTGTAACATCGGCTGAGTAAGATTACCTACAAAATTCTGTATCCCAGCTCCATGGGTTCCCCAATTTAAGATTCTGGGGTACAGCCCCAGATGGCAGCCTGTCCTTAAAGGCAAAACTTTTAGCTCTGTGGAGTCCTTGCTGAGCTTTTAAAGGTTCTCCATTTTTTCAAGGAACACTCTCACCCATCACTCCTGTATTCCAGTTCTTCAAAGCCCCTCCTCCATTATTCTAAATTCTAATAATCTCTGACTCTTACTTTTGTCCCTGTATCTGGGATATCCACTCCCTGTAGTGACTACCTTTATGATTCCTCAGTGTTTTTTTTTTTTTTTTCGGTCTTTATTATTTGCCAGTAACTGGCTAACCATCCTTTGATAACTCTGCCCATTAAAATACATGGTGTGGTTTCTGTTTCCTGAATGTAGCCTGATTTACACAGGTAATTAGTAGCAGGAGTTGAAGCTGTTAATGGGAAAGCAGCTGCAGAGGCCATGATTGGCTATGTGCAAGGCAAAATTTTAAGAGGAACCAATATTAAAAGGCTAAGATAAACAATCAGAAGCAAAAAAGAACAGAAATGAATAGCCATTCAGGGAGAAGTAGAGTTTCAAAAAGTTTAAAGTCTCTGTTGCTCATAAGAATGACACAGCATATAAGAAGCTTCTAGAACTGCCTTTCTATCATATTCTTAATTTCTTAATTTGGTTTCAGTTCCAGCCCACACGTTGCCAGAAAAATTCCCTTTTTACATAGGTCACCTAAATGAGTCTTTTTTTCACAATAAACAAAAGAGCCTAATGAAATGAGTCTTTTTTCACAATAAACAAAAGAGCCTTCCTTGTGTATAAATAGAAAGACTAAGTTTGAAGGCAAGGAAAAAAAAAACAATTACATATGTTTAAAAAATAAGATTCATGTCTTCTCTCTCTTTTGGTTGATATTTCTCTTGAGTGGCTGGTACCTTATCTTTACCTTACCATTGCTTCATCATCTTTACAGAGCACTTCACACTTGTAAATGCATTCATATCTAGGTTCTTATGTGACTCTCCAAATAAAGTGATATCCCTGAAGATAGATTAACATATCTTCTATTCAGCTTAATCTACATAATGTGATGGAGTTGATGAAAGAAAGATTTGTCTTCTGGGAGAATCATGACTTATGAATGTAGGACAGATAGCTGTTATAAATGCAAAGCTAAATATTAACAGGAAAATGCATGAGCAATACCTTTTACCTTCATTTCCGGTCTACTTATAACACATCTACTTATGCCTTAAGACAGCACAAATAATTCAAGTAGTTGCCAGTTAAAAGGGAAAGTACAGACTTCTTCCCTACCCTGAATGGTGCTTAACTAAAATTTGATCTTTTTTTCACCTTAACACAGTGAAACCCCACAGATGAATGAAGAGATTGTTTCAATTGTGCAGAGCTAGGTAGCTCCTATTTCTAGGTGTGAGTCTCCTTGACTCTTGATGGTATAACAATTATTAACTACAGAGGATGCTACAACCCAATCCTCCAGCTTACAAACTGCCACTTGTTCTAAATTACTTAGACTTTCATTCTTCCCCACTGGTTCCTTCAGACAAGTGGAAGTTAGCCAATAGCCCAACAGAAAATATTTTCCTGCTGTCACCACATCAAGCTTTCCAATTTCTTCAGGTTTTCAGAGACAATCGAAAGCCAGCAACCATTCCCAAACACTTTGTTCCATATGAATAACTGAACCACTGCCCCAGTTTCAAAAATAGGAGCTGGGGCTTCACCATTTGTCCACCTGTTTTATTCTGAATACCAAGTAGGCCAATCTGCCACTCTTTTAACTCCCATGGTAGTGCTCAGAAACATCTGTTTGGAAACAGTTTGACTCCTGCCCTTCTGCATAAATCACTACTGGTAAAAGTTTTATGAGGTGGGAACTTTTTCCCCCTGCTTTCTCTTTTTGTACCTGAATGAAGCCCAAATGAACAAGATGAAGTGGCTAGACATTTAGCCATATGCCAGTATCCACATGTGTACATTCGGGAGGGAAGAGAAGTTGTCAGCTGTACCAAAGGAGAATTAGAATTATCTGAAATGTTATTAACAACCCCATAGACAATGAATTTTTGAAGGATTCTCATCGGGTAAATGATGTCTCTCACTTACCTGTAGCAAATTGTTCATGGACTGGTTTCCCTGTTTGCAAAATTTGAATCCACTTAATTTATGGTGATTCCAAAGTAGTTTCAGGATGTTTCCATATCGTTAATCCACATAAGTTATCCTTGCTTTTTCAGTAACTCCTACATAAAATAGAATAAAAGGACATAATTAGTATTATTTAATGCTCAATAAATGCTGGTAGATTTTAATACCTATAGCTCACACTAAAAAAAAAAACAACAAAAAAACAACAACAACAAAAAAAAAAACACCACATTGACTGTTTTTATTTTTTATATGATAGAAAATAATATGAAAACATATTTTCTCTTTGAAAAACTATACCAATTTTAGAGTATTTTGGAAATATAATTACACCAAGTAGTAGATGTCCAGGTGATTGCTAAGGCTAAATAAAAGTTTATTGATTAGAGACTCAATATAATAGCTTTGATTAAAATTTGCTTGTTCCTGCATGACCTAAGAAGGTGGAAAGGAATTTAACATCTGAGAAGTTACCATAGATCTGTGCTATGTGAGTTACTTTTACACGTATTATTTCATTCAATTGGCAATGTTTCTAAGAACTTACTATCCATACTGTCTGACAGATTTTTTTTAGCCTAATTTTTCAAGTTATAAAGCAAAGACTTAAAAATAGGGGATGTTAGATGATAAGTCCACTTAAACTGAATACACTATCCACTTGTTTTAGTCAGATGGTGGAGAAGACCATTGATCATTGCTTTGTTTTGTTTAAATAATTAATATCAAAATATTTTTGTGTGTGTTGAATCTGACCTAAGACAAATGAAAGGAGTTATTTTGACACAAGGCATATTAAGAATTCCAAAGAAACATAGATAATGAATTTCCTGTCACAATGTATCATATTATGATGAAACACCTTAAGCACTATTAAATAAAATTTGGAGAAGGCTGTGCTTTGGACTGAACTCCTGCGATAGGCCCCAGTAGACCAAACCAAAATGGAGCCACTCATATTAAGTGCCATGCAATTGAAGTAATACTTTAAAAAACAGGAAAATCTCCAAACAGTCCATTTTTTCCCCAAAATAACTAGAGATTCACATAAACCATTTGAAAAAGGGCCAGTCATCCCAACCCAGCATGATAAGGAAGTCTTTTCTACCTTAACTTCCCTAACAAGAAAAGTGACCTGACATTAACCAATCTGTGTTTATGTATATGCTGTTTCCTTGTTTCTGCTCCAGCTACCTTTGAAAAACTGACTGTTCTGCTGTATCTAATGAAGTGCATTCCTATTTTTATAGATAAGATGCTGCCCAATACATGAATCATTAATAAAAGTCGATTTGATTGTCAAATCCAATTTGTTGAAATTTTGTTATTTGACATCACATAATTTTTTCCCCATTACATTTATTTTGGCCTGAAATTGCACGTCTATTTAGGATTTACAGTACTTTTTAAACTAAATTTAACAAAAATAACTTCCCGTGCATCTAAACGATATTGCTTATTTCATGTAACATTCTTTTATATTAACGAGTTTTTATTAAGAGACTGTCATAGTAGTTCTCTTTGACAAGACCGTAAGAATCATTATGACATGACAAACCACCCATTAGTGCCCTCTTATTTCCAAAAATAGCCAGCCACAGAAAACCCTCTGCCCCTCACATTAAACTTCTCTCATTTGAAACATCCCCAAACTGCTCAAGTTCCCCCTTGTAGCCAACCAATACTTGTAAAATGTACCATTTAGAAAATCTCTCTAGTTTCCATAATCCCATCTTAATAGAACATTTGCCAGTCAGGTAAGTCTGACTATTCTTTTACTTGACATCCTAAAATTTGCTCTCCTTCCAACTCTTTGGAAACTTGGCTTAAATAAAAGATATAGCAGAGGTATCCCCTTGCCACAAGTTTAGGAATAAACAGTCTTTGTAAATTTTTTCTCAGATTTAGTTTTGATGAGTGTCATTCTGTTTTATTAGGGGAATATTTAGGACAATGTGTAAGTCTAGAGAGAAGTGTCTTAACATGTTCTGCAATTTGAAGATCCTTCCTGGTACATGGTAAGAAAACATAGTACAGCTAATTTAAAATAGATGGGGGAAAAGGGAGAAAGGAGAAGAGAGAGAGAGAAAGAAAAAGAAAGAAAAAAGTCCTGAATTACATGGGAGAATGAATACTAAAGCTGGAAAGTAGAATAAATGATTGCCCAATTCTCATTCAATTTATGAAATATCTAGAAGACACTTAATATACCAATGTCATATGCCACTGTTAAAATTTAATAAAATATCCATCTATTGGAGATCCGCTATAAGCTGGACACCACTCAAGCAATTTCCATGCATTATCTAATTTATTCACTAGGGAAAATTGGGGCATCAATAGAAAACTATATATTTAGCACACCCTTCTGCTTATCAGAAGGTGATTCTATGGAAGAAGTCTACGGAATTTACAACTCAGTCAATTGTAAATACCTGCTAGCAATGCAAAATAATTTTTCTCTGTAAACAGTTTTATTTTTCTGTTCAGTAATGTGGTTCACTTGACTTCCTTCTCCGTGAAATAAGCTAGTTTTGCTTGCATTTACAAATCCATTTCAATATTTCTTATTTATATGTGTCTTTATTTTGGATTTTCATTTGAACTGGTTAGAATACTCTGGTTCTCTCACTGATAAATGAGTGATGAAAAATTTTAAACATCTGTTCATTTTATATTTGTATGAGAGTTGTGATTTTAACTTTTTTGAAAATGATCTTTTGATCATTCTTTACAAAAACTCAATTGGGATTATACATTATTGAATATATTTTACAGACAAGGCTTAGCAGGGTCTCATGACTTGCCTAAAGGCCACAAACATCCACTGTGCACCTCCTGTCTGTTAGGTAATATGCGAGACGCCAGGGCTGCAAAACTAAACAAGGTTGTCTTTAGCCTCAGGGTCAAGAAAACAGGAGCAAATCTTTAGTGAGGATTGCCTCCTATGTAAGGTGCTTTCATAGACATCCAGGAACTAAACACATTTGATGAATACATACTACTTGAAATTCACTTGCTATATAAAATATTGAACTCAAATAGATTCAAACAGTGTTATACTCATTATCTCAACTTGCTCTACAAACTATTGGTAACTAAATTCGGGAATGAAATAGACTTGTATAGGAAGAGATACTTAATTACTATCTTCTAATCCTTCAAGTCACCATATGAGGTAGGCATTCTTCCCATTTTTAAAGATAAAAAAAAGAGGCTCAGAGAAAGTAGCGTTTAAAAAAAAAAAGTCACAGCACTAAAGAATACGAAGAGATAGCAGGATCACACAACCCAATGTCCTCATTTAAAAGATGAACAACTAGAGCTCATGGGAGACACAGTAGCTCCCTAAAATCTCATGTCCACCTAGAAGCAAATCCAGGTGCTTCATCCATTGCTCATACTGCATCTTTCTACTTATCTGAGACAGTGAGGAAGGAGAATGGAACCACATATTAGAATCAGTGAGAAAGGAGAGGGAAAAATTATTAAACTTCTCTTAAGGTTTTCAGGAGGCCACGAGGGGTCTAATATAGTTTGGCTCTGTGTCCCTACCCAAATCACCTTGATTATAATCACCATAATCCCCACATCTCAAGGGCAGGACCAGGTAGAGGCAACTGAATCATGGGGACAGTTTCCCCATGCTGTTTTCATGATAGTGAGTGAATTATCAAGAAATTTGATGGTTTTATAAGCATATGGCATTCCCCCTGTTGAATTTCATTCTCTCTTCAGCCACCCTGTGTAGAGGTGCCTCGTGCCATGACTGTAAGTTTCATGAGGCTTTTCCATTTCCATGGAACTGTGAGTCAATTAAACCTCTTTTTAAAATAAATTACCCAGCCTCAGGCAGTTCTTTACAGCAGATTGAGAATGGACTAATATAATTAATTGGTACCAGGAGTTGGGTGCTGATAAAAAGATACCTGAAAATGTGGAAGTGACTTTGGAACTCAGTAACAGGCAGAGGTTGGAACAGTTTGGAGGGCTTAGAAGACAGAAAAATGTGGGAAAGTTTAGAACTTCCTAGAGACTTGAAGGGCTCAGAAGACAGGAAGATGTGGAAAAGTTTGGAACTTTCTAGACACTTGTTGAATAGCTTTGACTAAAATGCTAATAGTGATACGGACAATGAATTCCAGGTTGAGGTAGCCTCAGGTGGAGATGAGGAACTTGTTGGGAACTGTAGTAAAGGTCACTCTTGCCATGCTTTAGCAAAGGGACTGGTAGGATTTTGCCCCAGCCCTAGAGATCTGTGGAGCTTTGAACTTGAGAAAGATGATTTAGCATATCTGGTAGAAGAAATTTCCAAGCAACAGAGCATTCAAGAGGTGACTTGGGTTTTCTTAGAAGCTATTCAGTTTTATGGATTCACAAAGATATGCTTTGGAATTTAAACATGTCTAAAAGGAAAGCAGAGCATAAAAGTTTGGAAAATTTGCAGCCTGATTATACAATAGAAAACCTAATTTCTGAGGAGAAATTCAAGCCCACGGTAGAAATTTGCATAAGTAATGAGGATCTAAATGTTAATCATCAAGAAAATGGGGAAAATATCTCCAGGCCATGTCAGAGGTCTTCATGTCAGCCCTGCCCGTCACAGGCCAAGAGGCCTAGAAGAAAAAACTGGTCTCATAAGCTGGGCCTAGGGCTTTGCTGCTTTGTGCAGTCTTAGGACTTGGTGTCCTGCATTCCTGCTAGATATTTTAAATGGGGCCAAGGTACAGCATGGGCCATTGCTTCAGAGGGTGCAGGTCCCAAGACTTGGCAGCTTCTATGTGTTTATCCTGTGAGTGCACAAAGCTGAGGTTTGGGAACCTCTACAAGATTTCAGAGGATGTATGGAAACACCTGTACATTCAGACAGAAGTTTGCTGAGGGGCAGAGCCCTCATGGATAACCTCTGCTAGGGAAGTGCAGAAGGAAAATGTGGGGTTGGAACACACACACAAGAGTCCCCACTGGGGTACTGCCTAGTGAAGCTGTGAAAACAGGGCCACCACCCTCCAGACCCCAGAACTGCAGATCCATTGACAGTTTGCACTGTGTGCTGGGAAGAGCCACAGACACTCAGTTACAGCCCATGAAAGTA